GTTATGCTTTAGGTTTTATTTTGCTTGATCTATAATGCAAACAAACAAAACAAAGCAAAAGTTAGAAACAAGAATTAATAAACACTCCAATACTTTAGTACCAGCACAAATGGAGTTGCATTACAAGCAAACTAGCCCTTGAGACTGCGCTTGGAAACAATGCAAATAAGTATGAATGCAAATATATAGAGTGTAAAATGGTTCATATAAGACTGCGTTTGGAAACGATGCAAATGGAGTGTAAATCCCGGTTCCGGGTAAATTTGCACTCTGGTTTGCTTTTGCCTGTGTTTGGCAACATTACTTTTATGCATTGACCAATGCATATTTACATTGATAATAAGATGTAAGAGTACATTAATAAAATAGAAGTAAATTTGCATTCAAGTGGACTTTTGATAAAAAAAAAGCATATGCTTTATTGGAATTCATATTTGCATCCATTACAACTGAAAGTCTGTTTGGTAAGAAGGTAAATTTGTCAATGTAAAACTAATCCAATTTTGCAATTTATATGAACCGTTTTACATTCTACATATTTGCATTCACACTTATTTGCATCGTCTCCAAACACAGCCTAAGTTGTAGCTGGGTTAGTTTTTTACTAACAAATTTACCTTCTTACCAAATAAACTTTTAGCTATAATGGATGCAAACATGAATTTCAATAAAGCATAGCTTTTTTTTTTATCAAAAGCCCACTTGAATGCAAATTTACTTCTTTTTATTGATGTACTTTTACATCTTATTATCAATGTAATATGCATTGGTCTGTCATTTGTCAATGTATAAATGTAATGTTGCCAAACACAAGCAAAAGTGAACCAGAGTGCAAATTTACCCTAAATTGGCATTTACGCTCCATTTGCATTGTTTCCAAATGCAGCCTAAGGGCTTGTAATGCCCTACCATTACCAAGCAAACTAGGCCTTAGGATAATTTTGTTGCATCATGATTTGAATTAAAAATTGTATGTTGCATTTAATGGTAAGGGCATGGCTTAAAAAAAAAAAAGGTAGGAGCACAAATGCACTATGAAGGCAAAAGTATACATGGATGTAAAAAATCTTTTGAAAATATAAACGCTAATGTTTGTATTTGGTTTGAAAGAAAAGGTAGAGAAAGGAGGGGCAAGTTAGGGATTTATTTGGTTCATTGCAATAGGGTTCTAGAATCGGAATTAGAATGGTCAAACTGTTTGGTTGGACAGGATGGGATTTTGATCTCCATTCCTCATGTCGTGGAATGACTTTCCCCATTCGAGGAAATGACTATTTTCGCCTCCACCCCCACCCCTCCCACCCCATTTTAGTCCATAAAAATAATACAAATGACTTGACCCCCAACCCTATTTCTTTTTTCCCTCTCTAAACCAACCGGGTCCAGATGTAGTAAGCATGTTAGGTAAGCATAATGAGTGAGCACGTAATAGTTGTGTGACACATGTCCTAGTTAATGCGCCTTTCATCCAAATGTTTTTGCTTCGTTATACAAAAATTTTCCATTATTTTATTATCTTTATCAAAATAATTAAAAATAAAAAACAATGAAAAAGGGAAACGTAAATGAGTCCCAACTCATAACACATTTAGGTTTACCTTTTTCATTATTTTTATTTTTAATTATTTTGACAAAGATAATAAAATAATGGATAACTCCTATATAACGAAATAAAAACATTTGAATAAAAGGCACATTAACTAGCACATGTGTCACACAACTATTATGTGCTCACTCATTATGCTTACCTAACGTGCTTATTACATCCGGATCCAAACCAAAAAGGTGGGGGATTAGGCAATTCCAATTCCAACTGTAAACCAAATAGACCTTTAAAAACTTTTATAAAAGCCCATTTTTTTTCTTTTTAGCTTATATAATATTACAACATTGAATAAATAAATAAATGAAATCCAATGTGATGTGTGTTGTTTGTAGCTTTAGCGACAAATCCTTTGAAAAAGTAGCTTTCAAGTGGCACCCACCGGATCTAATATAAACAAGACATGAACAATGGGCTAGAATTAACATTTCAGTCGCTCGTACATCTAGTATATAGCAGTACCGGTTACTTGCGTGTCTACTTCTGATTGGACCTCGTAGCCCCTGTGTACAGGGCCAGCTTGTAGCAGGTGGGAGTCTGAAAAGTAATAAATCCATACACAAGAAAAGTGTTGATTTGGGCACATACCCTTTAGTGTTAAATGCACACACCTCTATCTCTCTATTTGTATTAGCCAATTAATGCATTAAAAGGAATTTTCCCAAATTAGCATCCAGAGAAAAATCTTGTTTGGCTTAATACTCGAGAAAACAACAAAATCAGTGCAATTGTGCAAAGCAATATCAGGTGTGGTACGGTTTTTTGGCTTAGTTTGATATGGACAAGATCCCCTTGCAGTTTGGTTTAGCTCAACCCCAGTACATTCCATCACTTGCACAAAGATTAAAAAAAACAAATAGATGGGCCCATATTACGGCCCTCAACAGACCACAGCCCACCCACTCTGCCTGAACCACAAAAAGCAAACCATATGTGGTCAGACCAACTAATGGTTCATCATTCACTCACACAATGAGAAATAAAATAAAATACAAACTTTTGGGAAACAATAATCAATACCCCTTTTAGTTTCTAGATCAATGTGTCCTCATCACATATAATCCACAGAGAGAGAGAGAGAATGAGCAGTGAGGTAAGCAAGATTTTGAATTTGAAAGGCAATGATTTAGCAAATAATGTGTTTGATATTAGTGGAGGGGGTGTGAGTGAGGTGTCTGTAACCCCCAAAGTCATGGAGAGAGAGAGAGAGTGGATGTATTTGGGTTTCAAAATTTGAATTCAGTGAGACTAGAAGATCAAGGGGTTAGGTGGAGGATGGACAAATTCAGTGCAGCTTCACCTGTTTAGTACACCATGGTGAAGCAAATTTCAAAGTCGCCTGTGGCCCATTCGCCAACTCTCCATGGACGGAATCTCTCCCATTTTGAATGGTGACAAACGAAACCTATATTTCACTAAATACCAACCTCGGAATATTGGCTTCCACGATGAAGCTCCCATTTCTGCATTGGGAAACCCGGCTAAAATCCGGATTGGTTTTAACTAAACCTATTTTCAGTTACAGACGACTGCCCACTTTTACCATTTCTTATTTATCCATTCACATTTTGAACATTTTTTTTTTTTTTTTTTTAATTTGGGTCTTCTGGGTTCTGAGTTTTGACTTCGGGTTCCGGACTTTTGGAAATTCGAAGACAAACGGCTAGCCCCCTTCCAAACGAGAAGCTCTTTTATAGTTTTATTTATTAAAAGCAAAGCGTGGTTGAGACTTGAGAGTAAAATCTCAGATAGCTTAGTCCCAGTAACTTGACACGTGGAGAATGTTCGCGTGTTTGTGGGTTACTGTTGTGTGCTGTAAAACCGTTCTCTGCCGTAACGATTACGCACTTGCATTGTTTTTTGGGGGGTAAATTTCAATGTTTTGACTTATGATCCATGCTTTTGTTTATAGCATTAGTATGTGATGACGATAATGATTGTCGATTCCCACACACGTGCTGGGTCTCACTCTACGGGAGTGTTTGTTTTTAAATTTAATTTTTCGCGTTCTTAACTTTGTACCTTTCGGTAAATGTAGGTCACACAGTAAAATCATTCTCTTCTAGTCTTCTATGTTTTATGTCACTTATCCCAGCAACTGATACCCATCTCATATTAATAGGTGAATAAATTATTTGTTCACTTTGAAGGAAAATGTAGGGAAAGGAAGGGAAATATAGGAAAACCTATACAAGATTTGTAAAGGTTTTCCTACATTTCCCTACTTTTCCCTTCAAACCAAACACAGCAATAAAGAAAAAAATGCTAAAATTAATGAGTTAAAAATATTCATTGAACAGATTTTAAAAATAAAAAGATTAAAAGATAAAAATGGTAATACAAAAAATCCATCCGAAAAAGAAGAGTACAAATACACTTACTCAGATGAGTATTTTCTCCCCCTAATAAATATGGAGATGTTTGGGACGGATGATGATTCCTCCGATTATGTTATTTGTTTGATTTGATACAATTATTGTTATGTCAGACGAATTTCTTAGATCGGTTATGAATTTGTTTGATAGTGATTTTTGTGTTTACTTGAAATATCTCACCTATCTATGTCAAATGCTACATCATTAACAAATAATTGGAATTGGCTCCAAAAAGGAATCATCAAATTTAATTGATTTCTCTTTTCAACCCAATTGTAATAATCATTTCCAAATTGATTTATGAAATTTCTCATAAATCGGCCAACCAAAGACCAAAATAATCATCAATTTTGGAATTCATGATGTTGGTCTGATGTAGTGCCGGTTTCTGAAAAAATCAATATCAATTCCAAACACCACCTATATTTACCCATCTCTTCTTATACATCCCATGAAATTGGAACAATACATAGATAAAAAAAAAAAAAAAAAAACACCCAAAACAAACAAGGTCTATACATCTTGTCCATCTAATCCCTTGCGGCTCTCGTGTACGCAAGGTGCGGGTCGGGCTTAACAAAGTCTACGATTCCGTACCAATTTACTACCCGATGAAGAAACGATCCGATGTATAAATATAAGGGGTAATAGCATTTAAGGGAAATGCCAACGGAGGCAGACAAACAGAGCAAACAATAGGTTTTGACTGTTGTGAACTTGTCTGTTGTGAGCTTGTTATAAATGAACTACAGTGTCGGATGGGTCTCATGACAATATCAACCCCGATTTGGACAATATCTCCAGTTTTATAAAGGTGAAGAATGAGGTTAAAAATGGAAATCTGTTAAGTATATCGATGGAACGTGCCCTCAAGCTAGAAAAGCTGGCCAGCCAGGCGACGTTTTCCGTTACGAATCGCTATTGGCGTACATCTCTTTATGGCTTTTCGTGGGTCTGTGATGTAACGGATTCCGTCAGTCATCGCTGCCGGATTTTTGCTATAAATACGAGCTCTTAGTCTTTAGGTCTGCTTGCTTGCAACTTACTCTGTCTTCGCTCGTTCTCTACCGTTGGTTTAGTGGCATACGTCGAATGGTTTGAGTGAAGAAGAAGCAAGCGTTTAATATTTGTTTTTCTCTGATAAACTGTTGTTGTCGGAATGGGGAGTGGGGATCAAAGAGACAAAGATTATAAGGAGAGAGTCGATGCCGTTCTTCAGCTGCTAAGGAAACAAGCTCCGCTTACAGTGAAACAAGTGAGTGCGAAACAGTGTTTTCTTCGCTGAATCATGATTCTTTTTGTCATGGATCTTCTTTGTACAGTCTTTATTTGAACGATTTTCTCCGACTGATTTGAAAGAACCTTCTACTTTGTTGTTTTCTTTTTTCCTGGTTCCTTGTTTTCTTTTTAAATTTTTAAATGATGGCGATTGTGAAATTGTGAACACAGTGAACATTCTTTTTACCTGTTTTTTAATCATTAAGATCTTGTTAATCCACTGTTCATTGTTGGTTATATTGTTACGATCATTACGGTTGAATAGTTTCTGAAGGTTTCTTTGTCCATGATCCTGCTGTATTTTCTATGAGAAGCTTGGTTAGGGTTTGATTTTTACGAGGAACTTCTCTCGCTTCTGAGTTCTCACTGCAACCTAGCTGTTGAGTGTTAAAACTAGATTTTGTTTTTCATTTTTTTTTATCTGATCTTTATAGTTTTATGTTTCTCGCTTACCCTTGCAGGAGAAGTTCTGCAACTATACCTGTGTGCAACGATTTTTGAAAGCAAAAGGAGATAACGTGAAGAAGGCTGCGAAGCATTTGAGAGCTTGCCTCTCCTGGAGAGAGAGTATCGGCACTGGTATTTCATTCTTCTTATTATTAATTTTTTCCCCATACTAGAAGAATATTGTTTTGAAATGCTGAAAGAAGTCGGAAGATTTATTTTTCATTTGAACAAGAAACCATTAAAAATAATAGGATTCAAAGCTCGTACAGATTGAACTAAGTTTTGATTTATTGTTCAGAAGAATACTAAACTAATAATCCGTGCTTTCTTATCTGCTTGCACTTTGTAAATAAAGAGTACTTAATAGCAGATGAGTTCTCAGCTGAACTCGCAGAAGGCTTCGCCTACGTTTCTGGTCACGATGACGAATCGAGGCCTGTTGTGGTACTCTCTCTCTCTCTCTCTCGTTGATTCTCTTACTCGAGAAATATAAGTTGGAAGGAGAACAAATCAAGACATTTTTGTTTTCATTTCGTGCCTGCAGATTTTCCGAATTAAGCAAGACTATCAGAAGTTTCATTCACAAAAACTGTAAGTCAAAGATAAAACCTAAAGAAAACACAGAAAAACAAAATAAATTTTGAATGTGTTTTCTGTAACTTGATAAATTACTTGTTTATTCCACTACAGGTACATACGCCTACTGGTTTTTACACTTGAAGTAGCCATCGCCTCCATGCCAAGAAATGTCGAACAGTTCGTACTCCTCTTCGATGCGAGTAAGTGTAGTGTGTAGATATCCTCCTGATTTTGATTGCATTAGTTGTGATTTGTGAAAAAGAGAGATCCAATAGTGGGAAATGATACGCACACAAAGCACCATGATTAGCCCTGGCACAGTCGTCCATTCTTTTCATCTCAGATGACATTCAGATCCAATTCCATGTATCGATTGTCAGTGGCTCCCATAACACCGATTCTTAATTAATTCTAGAAAGCAGATCGGATGGCTGGGAGTTCTCAGTTCTTCCGCGAATGATTTTCTGCGCAAGTGCTCTGATCAACACTGCTTATCCAATTTTGTTACATTCAGGGTCATCTGGTTATTTGGTCTAGTTCGATCAAATTTCAACCTCATAAGACCTGCAGCTTTTTATTCTCTGACGGTAATTAAAGCAGTGCCTCAACTGGTAACCAGTCTGAAATTCTCAACATGCCTCTCTGAAAACCTTGCTTTATTAAATAAAGACCAAAAGGATTCCCGATAGGCTGATCTAAAGCGTCCTTTAATCTCTTTCAGTTTCAGTTAACGCTTAATTCCTGATTAACGAGAAGTGAATCTCTTTTCTGTACAACTCCCTCAGCGCACGTTAGTCAAAACGTGATAATTGAGAGCAAGGTGTACCATGTTAGACGTACGACATTGTCGGAAACCCGGCATGTGCTATGACTTTTATGTTTCCCAGAGTACCCCCGAGGTGCCACCGTGTTATTGGCTTATTGCTCAGTTAACAGTTATGAGAGGCATTTGCATTTACTCATTTAGGGGTATGATTGGAATTTCCTGTTAGGTCAGTTTTCTGGTCCGAGCGCGACTATGGTGAGTGTTTACTCTCCGCGCGAGCAGTACGGAACTACAGAGCAGAAGGGATTTTCTTTTGCAGACGGATAATATTTTCAGAGAAAAAGTAGGAGCTCCGGAGCTCTTGATCCCTGAATCCTGAGTCCCGATTTAACAAATTAAAGCTTCTTTTTATAATTAATCTTCTTTATTTCTTGGCCCTGGGGTGAGCAGTGAGCTCATTTATTGATATCAAACGCGTGCAAATGCAGGCTTTTTCAGATCGGCTTCGGCTTTTATGAACTTGTTGCTGGCGACACTAAAGATCGTATCGGAATATTACCCAGGACGTCTCCACAAGGCCTTCATCATCGACCCTCCCTGGCTTTTCTTTTACCTCTGGAAGGTAAAATTTCAACGCTCTGATTTGGTTCTAAACCAAGGTTAGTGGACCAACCAACCAACCAACTGGTGGCCCATAACGGTTTATTTCTGCAACAGGGCGTTCGGTCGTTCGTCGAGTTATCGACCGTGACGACGGTGGTCTCGACATTAGACTTCGAAGACTCACAGAACTACGACGACTTCTCGGCCTTCCCTCCACGAGCTTCTTCCCTCCGATACGACCCGTCGACAACCCCATCAACGGCCAAGGTTGGCACTTCTGCGTCTACTCGGTTTGCGTTCACCGTGTCCCACCACTTCGACTCCCTCAAGCCTTGGTACCTAAGCTTGACTGAGATTTCAGCCTCCAAGATGGGACCCACCAGCCCATCCCCTTCGTTGCTGGGTCCCGCTCTGATCTCCCCACTGAATGCGGGAGCCCGCTCCTACTCTTTTGCATCACCGGCTGCTAGAACGCCACGTGGTGAGATGAGAGGTAGCGGTCCACCGGCTCGGAAGAATAACTACTTCCCTTCGACCCCAGTACTGAGACCCAAAGTCAACAACAGCGTCAAACACCCATGGACGCCAAGACCGTCGTTCCTTCAGTCACCCGCCATGTTCCTGCGGAAGGACAGTGTTAACAGGACCGAGAAGGCCCGTGAGTCGTTCCTGCCCTTTCTGAGATTCTACCGGAGACCATACGACGAGATGATTTACAGGTCAAAGATGAGACCGCCACTGGGAGGACTCGTATCCGTCGTCACTACTCCTCAGATGAGACGACGCCACGTCTCAGCATCCCAAAGGTTTTGAAAACAAAAAGAAACAAGAAAAAAAAAAGAGTACATTTGACAATATCGCTGGTTTGCTGCTGGAGGATAATAACGGTAACATAGAAAACTTCTGTGAATTTGAATATAAAATCGTTGCGTGGGTTGAAGGCTCCTCAATCAAAATGTGAGAATGTGAAGGAAGATAGATAAAAGGAGACGACGTAGCAGGCGGGGTTATGAGATGGTGTGCACGTTGTCTCGTGTTTTTAAATTCGTGGACTCCCTCTTTTAGTCTACGTTTTGGGTGAGGGTGCATCCGTACATAGGAAATGCGATACCGTGATGGCAACGACGAACATTGCATCGAAATTCAGTAGGGGAGGGGGGGGGAGGCCATTAAGAAAATCTCCATGGGGTTTACTTTAATTATTTTATTTCTGGAGAATTGAAGCTTAATTGGAGCTCTGGGGAATCTATGACTTGTTCTCTGACTTGTTGAATTTATTCACAATAAAAGTTTGAAGACTCTTTTCTTTTTGTTTACTCTCTCTCTCTCTCTCTTAATTATTTACATGGAAGAATGCAGACTTCTCTAGTTATTTTAATTATTTACCTAGAAGAATGGTAGACATGCAGTTACGGAATTTGTGTCGGGTTTTGTTACAAGAATGACAAAGTCAAAATGGATGGAATTCATTTCTTCTGTACACACATGAAAAACTTTAGCACACACATAACGGGCATTGGAAATTGAAACTGCAAAAGCACACGTTTGGTGTTTTTGTGGCATTCTTTCTCCAAGCAATCTAAGGTTATCTAACATCTGCTAGGGCTGCTACTAGAAACAAGATATGTAACATGGGCTAATAATACATATTCAGAAGTAAACACGTATTTACTTCCAACTGGCCAGGTGTTATTATTTATTATTTTGTTATTTATGGTGTATGGTAGAAACGAGGTATGATAGGACTCTACTGTTCTTGGGTATTGCTTTTATATGGATTGTTTCACTCTATTTATCTATTATGTGTTGTGCCACTTCTCACTTGGAAAGAAGGTTGATAGATGAAAGATGATGATTTTCTTTTGGGAGGAAGTGAAGAACAAGTGTTGTGGGCTGTTACGTGAACATGAAACAAACATAACTTGTATTTGTCTTTAGTTGCGGATTGATTCATTTGCCATCAATCAATGACTTATGGATCGTTGAATGGATGAGACAACATTGTAGGATTTTATTCGCGGAACCATCTCTTTTACGTACAAGAGAATAAGAGATTGTAGCCACACATGGCTGCAAACTTGCAATATTGATATGCATTTTGGCCTCTGGTACCGATCCCCATTGACCATTACGACACTTTTGTTTACTGGTTTAACCGTATAAGTAGGTTTTCATCGGGCGCGTTTGATTTCTAAACTTTGGAGCCATGGGGATTCAAATAGGAAAATTAGCTAATTGCTTTGACAATACTGAGTACTGACTGTTCACATGTAAGAATTGATCTTTAAACAAATCTCTCTCTTTCTTGAATAAAAAGGGAAATAGTAAATAATGAGTTTATTGACTTTATTCATACCTCGCCGTACAGACAAGGTTGGACCTAGAGAATCAGTAAATTAATAGTGTACTGTATATACCTGCTAGATCTCCTACTAAATTTCCTAGTAAATAAAGCCAACCTGGAATCTTTTTAGGGTGGTGTGTTCGATTAGATTCAAATTTGATTATTTGAAATATCTCATTTTGAATGTAATCTGCTACATTATCACTTTTATGATTTTAGTTGAATAGCTATATGCTTTTTTTTCCCTATCATCTATCATGTCTTTTTCGTATCATATTCAAACCCTTTTATTACATATTATTTGACTATGATGCCACAAACACACGATACCATAAAAATCCATCGTCATAAAAGTCGTAATTAATCAGGTGGAATTTTATCAAAATTCACAAAGGTTTTGATTGATCAAAACCTTTCAGGTATCATGTTAGATTTTTCTTTAATAAAGAATGAATTAAAAAAAAAAAAAAAAAACTTTTATATTGTATGCCATGAACAAAGGGTTATAAATAATGGTGCAATATTTTACACAGCATCAAGCTCGGGTGTTCAGCTATTGTAACATTCAAATTGATACTTTGCAATCTTTCAAACCTTGGTTGTAAATAAATTCAATCAAACAATATACCTGGACCTGAATTTGATTTGATAATGTTTAGATTAAGAATTGTCAAGGAATCATTCAATCTAAAAGCTTAAGTGATATCGGAAAAATCTTATAAACGGCACTGAGAAGAAAGACACAAGAGAACCGAGGAAGTTAGCCACTATAAGGAATCCACCAAAGAATTATGTTAAAAGCAAGATAGTAGAAAAAATCTTTTTCTTTTCTTTTTTTCAGAGAAAAGCTAAAGGCCTACTTGTCTTCAACCCAAAATTCTGAACTTGCTTACCCAACAGACTGATAGATTTGCTTGGAATAACCCCCTAAGCTGAGTAATTAACTAGATTCATGAATTACTCTAGAAGACTCAGATTTAGAAGCTAGAGGAAGCATAGAGAAACTAAAAAATCCTGGAATTGTGCATTTTACAGAATCGTATTGCCAAACTGCACCCTCAACAAGAATTGGTCCATAACTTTGCCTAGAGAACTCCAAATCCAACTCGGTTTGGTGCATTATTGGAAAGCGGACCTCTAAATCTTTTCATATGGCTATGCAAAATGCTCATCTTCAATGCGATATATCTAAGAGATTGGCTGCAAAGTTGAACAAAAAACCTGCATGACTAAATAGTTTCCAGGTGAATTTTGATTTCAAATTCAATTTTGGACAAGTTCGGCTATGTCATTAAGTTGATGGGCGAGGTCCTTGAATATGTTTTTATTTTCTAAAAATGCCCTCCCATGCAAAAGCCTAATGGACTTGAAGTATGGACAAGCACAAAACCATCATACCTTGTGATGAAATTTAACTACTATGTTGAGTAGGCTTTGATTCCATATGAATGAATCATTCAACCTAAAAGCTTAAGTTGTTAAGTGAGGTCTATGAATATGTTTTTATTTTCTAACAATGCCCCTTTACACCAAAGCCCAAGGGACTTGAAGCGTGAACAATCATAAACCCGCTCATACCTTGTGCTAAAATATAACCAATTATAGCAAAGACAACGGGAACTGAACACTTGACAACTTAATCAAACAAGCTCTAATACTATTTCAAGAAACCATTCGACCTAAAACTGTTTTTTAAGCCTCTCTTCTTGAGGGTGCAATTTGGCAATAGGATTCTGTAAAATGCCATTCAACCTAAAACTTGAACTATTAGATGAAGTCCCTACCGAATTTTTTATTCTCTAAATATTTTTGTGCTCAAGTTTTTGACCTTCCCATGGTCACTTGCCCGTCAGTCAAGTTGGTCAGCTAAGATAGATGAGACCATGCTTGGCCCACTGCTGTCCAACCCTAAATGCTCGGAGACTGGCCCAGCCCATTATCTCGAGGAATCGATCAATCCAGCACAAACTCAGTAAGCAATAACCATAATCCAGCTTGCCCATTTAGACGTCACGATCCTTGGGCCCATTCTCTACTCTCTGCTTTCATTAACGTATAAGCAATACGGTTCTAATAATATACTTTATTCTATTGCTGTGGTTGGAGAATACAATTACAGAGATTTTCAGTTTATCCAGAGGGAGTCTCTGCATATTGTGGTTCTTCCAAATGGCTATAATTATTATAATATAATTCACCCACCCACCCACACACACACAAACACATCAATACAATTTACTATAAGGCCCCATTTAATTGCACTTGTACAAAAAAATACAGGGGAGTGCAAATGATAAGATTACAAGTTTTGGTTCTTTTTTTTTGTTTGGGTTTTACTTTGCTTCAGGCTTTACTTCATTTGCAATGCAATCAAACAAAACAATGTAAAACCCGATAAAATGGTGAACAGGATTTTTTGCTCAACTCATTTGCACTCCCATATTTTTACATCAGTCAAACAAAATTGCATCCTAAATAAAGTAAGGGGACATTTGACAAGTCTTTTTGGGAAGATCTTCTAGTAGCTCTAATCAAAAGAGGCATTGAACTTTTGCATGAAGATCTGAACAAACAGAAGCTATTTTGGCTAAGATGCAAAAAGCTCCATTTGGAGCTTCCCAAAATTAGCCCAAAACGGACTTCTCGTGTCTTTTTGGTGCATCAATTTTTGGCGGCTAGATCTGTTACGAACCAAAAAGAAAAAAGACCATGGCACGGTCTGTCCGACTTGTAAACAGCTGAACAACCGCACAGAAAGACACGCCAAATGGGGCCTAAGCCTAACACTCAAAGCTTGCTTGGAAAGGCTGATGTTTGATTTTGTGTAGGACTCACTAAGCTTATGAAGTTAGGCCCCGTTTGGCTTGTGGGAATAGGGGTCTAGGTTCAGAATCAGAATGGGCTATTCCTATTCCAACTGTTTGGTTGGGCAAAATCAGAATCCCATTCTCATTCCCATTCCTACTGGAATGGCATTCCCCCATGTGAGGGAATGGCCATTCTCTACCCCTCCCTTGGGAATGAAATCCCATTCCTGCTAATTCCCATTTTCATTTCCATTCCTGTCTGAACCAAACAGACTATGGGAATGAATAAATTCCGATCCCAATTCTGACTACAAACCAAACGGACCCTTATTCATAAACCATCTACAAGATTACAAGTCTACAACAAATAATGAATAATTGAATATCTAGCTGTTCCAGAATAGTTCACTATTCACATGATGAGGTTTGGGTTTGGCCATTCTCAGCTTTACCCAATACTGCTTCAAAATGGGCTGTAATATTATGCCTAATCCGGCCCATGTTCTGTAAGATTGAAATTGGCCATGATAGACCAAAGCTCGTTAACAGTGAAATCTTTGTTTTACTTTTACCTTTTTTTCTCAATTCAAAATGTCAATAATGCACTACTTTTATACAAGACAGATGGAAATTTCTAAAGAATATCAATCAAGTCCTTTAATAAATGCCATAAAATAATGCTAAAGCGTATGAATTAAATTATGAGTATTACAACTAAAAACTATGGCCTTTTGGGCGTTTGGTTCATGGGAATGGGGTCTCGAATCAGAATTGGAATGGGTCATTCCTATTCCGACTCTTTATTTGGGTGGAACCGGAATCTCATTCTCATTTCTGGTGGAATGGTTCCCTCTCCCTTGGGAATGAATTCTCATTTAAATTAATTTCAATTCCTATCTGAATCGAATGGACTATAAAAATAGACCTTTCCAATTTTAATTCCAATAGATTACGATTTTGATTCAGATTCGGATTATGAATTAAGGGTCCGTTTGATTTGCAGTCGGAATTGGAATCAAAATCGGAATGGCATATTCCCATAGCCTGTTTGGTTCAGACAGGTAATGGAAATTGGAATCAGCAAGAATAAGATTTCATTCCCAAGAAAAGGACAGGGAATGGCCATTCCCTCAAATGGGGGAATGCCATTCCAACAGA